TCTTGGACGGTGGCCCCCTCGACCAGCTGCCCCCTAAAATGGTTGAGACGCCGCTGGGCGCCGGCCAGTTCGAGCCCGCGCGCCGGGCGCGCTGGGGGGCCGCCAAGCGGGCCAAGGGCGAGCCATCGGTGACCAAATATACGACCCCAGCGCGGTGCAGAATGACTGTTGGCCTTCCGTGAAGTTCGACGACTTCTTCAACCTCGCCAAGCCAGCCTCCCACGAGAAAGCCCCCCGCGCTCGCGCCATGGCATTCGCGGGGCGCGGGGGGGGCAAGGCGAACACGAAGCATCAAGCGCGCACGCTGGCGCGCGACAGGGCCCGGGGGACCGACGTCCAGCGCGAGTCTATCTGCGGCTCTGACGGGCACTTAACCGCAGAGGGCAAGCGACTGCACGGGCACTGGAAAACGGGGGATCTCACGGCGCCGCCAAACACTGAAGAGTCGTTGCAGAAGCAGCAGACCTTCGTGGACAACGCCTTCAAAGCCAGGGCAAAGACGACGGCCGCCCCTCCGCGCGCCCATATCGCCGCGAAGCGGATAATGGAGTCTCCCGAGACAAGGAGATATAGGACGTCGGCTGCCTTCTCGGGGGCGCTCGACATCGATGGCCCCCCTTCCCCCGCTAAGCGGCAGGCCGCGGCGGCGTCTTCACCATCTGCCCCCGCCGCCCCAGCCCGCGGCGAGCTCGAGGTCGAGCTCTCGCAGATGTTGGGCACAGCCAGCGCTGGCCCTGACGCGGCGGAAGGGGCGGGCGCGGCGGGCCTCCTCGGGGCGACTCCTCCGCGAGCGGACGTGCGCGCGCAGGACAAGGACGGCGACGTCCGCATGATGAAGCTGAAGCACGGCACGGACGCGGCGGACGGCAGCTGGGACGATGTCAAGACGGCGCCCCCGTCCTCGGCCAAAAGCGCCGACCACGACCGCATCGCCGAGTACGTCCACGCTCGGGCGTGGCGCGCCAGGCGCCATGGGGCCGATCTCTTTGCTTCTTCGTGCTCGAAGTCGGCCAGGGCTTGCTTGGGGCCCGATGTCGGGGGCTGCGGGGCGCGCATGGTTCGGGGAGCATGCAAGGCGCGAAACCACGCTCAGTTACTGTATAGATTCACGCGGTGCCACTTCCGACGCGTGCGGGGCAAGAGAGCACGCGCAGCTACTCTAGGTAACAACGCAGTGCCCCCGACCGCATGTTCACGTTGCCACGAGGCGGGGCTCCCTCGCGAGAAAGAATAGCACCTTGATTGTTGTTCTCCAGAGCGGGCCAGGTGGGTGATGAGGATATGGAATGAAGAGGTTAAGAGGAGGAGGAGGAGGAGGAGGAGGAGGGGGAGGGGGAGGGGGAGGGGGAAGAGGAGGAGGAACAAGACGACGGGAGGAGCACCGAGCACGGAGGAGGGCCGAACGGCCGCCATACCCATCCATTATGGCGCCTCCTCATCCTCCTGCCCCCGCAAGACCACCCTCCCCCTCGAACCTCCACATGCCCTCTCTTCTCCAAACCTGCCCTGCAAAGCAGCACACGTGCGATACGACCAACTGCATCCCTTCCCAGGTGAACAAGGACCGTCAGCCTGTCGCATGCTTCCGAACATGAGCATCGCAACGTCCCGAGCGCCCACTGTTAGTCACGACGTGGCCATATGTTGGAGCCTAGTAGCGTGGCAAACCAACACTCACAATATCGATGTCGTCCCATGTATCACGCCCTCCCATTCCGCAAGCGCGATATCGATCCAATTGCTGCACTGCGGTGCTGCTTGCAGTTATGTCGCGGCAGTCAACGTGGAGGTGCAAAACATGCGTAGCGCACAACATGCGCACAACATGCGGACGTCAAATCTGGTCGGCGCACAAGCGTCTATACATAAGAACATAAGAACGTGCGTGCGCACTTGCAAGCCTCACTTGCGTTCGGGTGAAATTGAACAGATGGTATCAAACATAGTACGCGCGCTGGCAAAATCACTCCTGCCCTATGGGCGCAGATGGTTTAACGAATTGTGTTCTCTCTGCCAAAATCCTTCCTTCCCCTGTTCGAGGGAGGGGTTTACCACTGCACAAACCGCACTCTGCGCCCCCACATTTGGAGCATGCGCGGCCAACCCGATGCGCCCCCCCACCATCCCTGCCCAAAAACAATGCAAAGTACACTTTGGGGCAAAATCTTGAGTCATGTTCGTGAGGCCCGCGAGCACTTTGTCTTGTTTTTGACAAGGGCGGCGGGGGTGTCAGCATAGTCCCTGCTGTGCGCAGGGCAACATGCACCTCGCGGCTAAATCTGGATCATGCGCGGCCATCCCGCGATCACTGCCAAGTGGCTTTTGACAGGAACGGCGGGGGTGCTGGCGCGTGGCCTGCTGTGCGCAGGCCCACCAGACACAATGATGGGCATCGGTTTTCGACAATGACGGCGGGGGCCGACATGTTTCCCAGTGTGTGCTGACACGTGCGCAGGCGCACCTGACGCACTCTGCACGTGCCCCGAACGCGGCGCACCTGGCGCGGCTGGAGTGTGCGGCACACCTGGCGAACCCGGAGCACGTGGCGCATCTGGCGCAGCAGGCGTGCCTGGCACGCTCGGACCCCAGGGGTACCTGGCGCGCGTGGCGCCCCTGGCACGCGTGGCGCACCTCGCCCAAGCGTCGCGCACCTCGGGCCGGCTGTGGTTCTCAGTAGCTGTCCATCCAAAGACGACAGCTGAACATGCTCAGGTTCGGTGTTACGCATGTGGAGGGCGGGTGGGAGTGAGCTAGACGGTGTGCGAGCGGGTGGGTAGCTTGACCCCTCCCCCCATACCCCCCCCCACTGGGCCTGGGAGGGGGGGGGGGGGGGCGATGCGGTCAGAGCGCCCACGATGGCCCAAGATGGCTCCAAGAGAGCCTCAAAGACCCCAAGGTGGCCACCAAGATGGCTCAATATAGCTCAAGGTGGCTCAAGACAGCCTCCGCCATACCTACAAGAGGCCACAAGACGGGCCCCAAGAGTGCCCAAGAGCGCCCCAAGAGCGGCCCAAGAGGGCCCCAAGAGACGATTCTTGAGCCTCGGAGGGGGGGGCTAAATTCATCGCAGACATACACGTCTTTAGCCATGGGTCCCAAGATCGCCCCAAGAGGCCTCCAAGACCCTGCAAAGACCCTGCAAAGAGGGGGCACCACTTTTACTGGTCATGGAGCGTTGGCTCCCACTCTTCAAAACGAAGGGGCTACGAGATCTGAAGTTCGGGCAGCGTTCCTTCTCCTCCATTCCCTATCCGTATAAATAACTCCTCCCTGTCGCGCCCCGAGCCAGGTCGACAGGGTGGGTCGGGCGTTTCCGTTTCGCCTGAGAGTTCCTCACCAGCTATGACCCTGAAACTCCAAAGTTGGTAAGACATTCACAAATGGAGGACGGGTCGCTTTCAAAACGTGCCTTTCGCCTTAGCGCCGCACACGTCCATTCTTGAATTCGCACAAGATTCACGGATCGAGGTCGGGTCGTTTTCGAAATATGGCTCTCGCCTCAGTACCACGCATATTCGTATTCAAAAATTGCAAGGGCTTCACGGGTTGAGGGCGGGTCGTTTTCAAAATGTAACTCTCGCCTTAGCGGCGCGCACATTCGCCTTAACAGTTACAAGGGGCTCACGGATGGATGGAGAGCGGTTGGTTGTCAAAATGTGCCTCTCGCCTTCGCGCCGCGCACCTTCGTCTTAACAGATTACAAGAGCTTTGCAGATTGTGGGCGGGTCGTTTTCAAAGTGTGCCTCTCGCCTTAGCCCCGCATATTTTCGTCTTAAGAAGTTGCAAGAGTTTCACGGATTGAGAGCGGGTCGTTTTCAAAATGTGGCTCCCGCCCTTGTGCCACGCACATCGGCGTTCAACATGTGCCAGGGTTTCACAGCTTCCCTTGGTGAGCGTACCAGACCTGGTACTGTGGTACGCTGCGGGACTGTCAGGGCGCAGCTGTTGCGCTGATTCGCGGCGCTGAAGGCCCAAAAACGGCGTCCTGGCACGATTCGGGATTGCCAAGACGCAAGAATCACCATGGCTCGTGGCGCATGGTCCCGGGAGTGGTGTTTTGGCACGCCTCAGGGTCTTCAAACGTCTGCCTCCCAACGGGACATTTCCCCCAGTGGAAGTGAATCCCTGCAAGGAGCCTGTGAAGAGGGAGCTTGGAGGGAGGGTTTATTCCAACATCGTTGATGAGCCTTGGGTTTACACTGGTCCTCGTTATCCTTTTCCCCTATTCCTCCCCCCCCCCTCCTCCCCCGCCTGCGCATCAGGCTCCTCGAAATGCGTCCAGACATGCCAGATGCACCCCCGAAACCTTGCGAGGACACCTAAAGTAAGTCGGGGCAGCAGGGAACACGTGCCATGTGATTTAACAACTGGTCCCACCGCTTCTGCGCCCCTACTACGCTTCCACGGCGGCCCTACTACGCTTCCACGCTATACTGCCCTCACTCTAGCAACTCCCCTGGCAATTGTTTCTGGGTGGGCAGGTGGGGATAATTTTTGGTCGGCGGCCGCGCGACGACGGTCTGGCGGCAACAGGCAATGTCCGGGGCGGGCGGTGGTGGGGATAAACGAAGCGTCAAGAATTGTTGTTGACGCCGCTCGGTGTGTTGCGGTAACTCTTGGTGCTGAGCTGAGCGGTGATCGTCCCTCGCAGTTCTGGCCAAAACCATGAGACGCCCAAGCTTCCTTCGGGCAGCCGCATATCGCGATCGCCAGAAGGCATGTTTTGGGGCTGCTGTTGTTGCTGCTCGACGCTTCGTGTCCAACGTCGCACTGACAGAGAAATGTTCGGATTGCTGTCGCCATAAACTTAGGCTGGGCAGCCTCTTGGTAGTCGCTGAGGAAAGCTGCATCGGACCCAAGATTTTCTCTACGAATATTGGTGCGCGTCGCGACCCTCCCTGCTACAATCCTAAGCGTTCGCCTCGTCCTCGTACTCACCTCCCTACTCCTAAGATTCCTGTGCACTCCGTCGGCCACGTTTCTCCTCCCGCCCCTGTCTCCGGGCAGCGCTGGTGGAAACCGCGCCGATCTCTCGGGTGCGGCGCGGCCGCTGCTGCAGAGCGTGTGTTTGTCACACGGCGACGATGACAACGGGTGACGACAACCACGTGCAGCCAGAGAAAGGCCGAGGGGAGAAAGAGTGGGGAAAGTACACCCTGCGAAATGCTTAAGAAATCATGGGTTCAGAAATTCATAGTCTCAGAACTTGAATAACAACCCAACATTTATATCACAATCTTAAGATTTACATTGAAACGTTAAGAATAATCGAGACTCTGGCCGAAAACGTAAGTTTTCTTAAGCATCGCCTAAGGTGTAGATGTTGGAGTAGCGGCAGGGATCGAGTTAGCGAAGCGCGAATAACTTCGCGCTCTCGCGCCGCCCTCCCAAAAGGAGAATAGGAGGACGAGGAGGAGGGGGAGAAGGAACGAGGACCGCGAAGCGCGAAGCGCGAATAACTTCGCGCCCTCGAGGGAGGCCTTATAGCAAGGTCGAGCGAGCAAGCGGGCCCCGCCCCTTCGCACCCTCCACCCCACGACATCATCGAACGGTACTTCGGCCCCCTCTCGGGCGACCAACACTTGCGAGGAGCGCGGCGACGAGGAAGCAGGCGCAGCGCCCAAACAGCACTGGCACCCTCACGCACGAGGCCGCTCTCGCGCCGCCCCGCTGCCGCTGCCGCGGCTATGCGATCCGGCGCGCGAGACGTGCGCCGCGCCCACGTGAAAAACAGCGCATCCGAGCGAAGTGTACACGTGACAGGTAGGTGCCGCGCCGAGAAAAAATGCCACTTTCGGTTGAAATCTGCGTGGCGTTGGCACGAGTCCGCTACGCGTCGACTGATTGACAGGCGAAACATGGCCGCCGCGCCCCAGCCGGATCCCCATTCGCATACACACACACACACACACACATTACATACATGCATGCAAACAGACATACCTGCATACATACATGCATACGTGCATGCATACGTACATGCATGCATGCATACATACCTACATACATGCAGACATACATAAATGCACACATACTTACGTACGTACGTACGCACATGCGTACATACCTACATACGTGCATGTATACGTATCTGCCTACATACATACATACATACATAAATACATACATACATACATGCATGCATGCATGCATGCATGCATGATACATACATGTATGAATACCTGCATGCATGCACTCATACAAACTTTATACGAGCGCTACACAGATATACATACACATACACATACACACAAACATGCTTGCATGCATGCAGACAGACAGGCAGACAGACAGACAGACAGTCTACTCGACATGCATACACACATACATACATGCATACATACAGACAAGCATCCATAGATGTGCGCGTGCATACATACAGTCATGCATACATAAACGCATGCATTACTACATACATGTATACCTATATACATATACATACATCAATACATACATGTATGCGTACATGCATGCATGCATGCATGCGTGCATACATGCATACAGACAGATAGGCAGACAGACAGGCATGCACGCACACACGCATGCACACATGCATTCATACATGCATACGTCAATGCATGTGTACATACACCAAATATTATATATATGTGTGTGTGTGCGTTTGTATATATACATACTAGAACCATCGCGCGCGCTTCGCGCGCGCTCAAGTTCTAGCTAGTTTCTCGGGGCCTCCTCGGAGCATCCTGGACTGCTGCTAGAAGTCGTCATGGGACCTTCTTGGCATGTCTTCGGGGGCCTCTTAGAAAGAGGTTTGAAGCCTTTTGGGTGCCGTCTTGGGGCCTCTTGGAGCCTCTTTTGGGCTTCTTGGGGGCCTCTTGGGGATTCTTGGGGGCCTCTTGGGGCCTCTTGGGGGCCTCTTGGGTCCTCTTGGGGGCTTCCTCGGGGCATCTTCGGGCCTCCTGGGGGCATCTTGGGGCGGAGAGCTTGAGTTTTCAGTTCGCGTTCCCTCTCTTGGGCCCCTCTTGGGGCCTTCTAGGGACCCTCTTGCGCCGTCTTGGGCGGCTCTGGGGCCGTCTCGGGGCTCTCTCGGGCCGTCTTGGGGCCCTCTTGGGGGCCTTTTGGGCCGTCTTGGAGCGGTTTGGGGAGCCTTTTGGGCACCGGAAACACGAAACAGCGAGAATGTTAAAAGAAAATTTAAAAAATGAAAATCAACGATTTTGCCCCTGTCGGGGCGCTCTTCGGCGGCAGCTTAAAGGCCTCTTGGGGCGTCTTGGGGGCCTCCGGGGCAAACGCATCGTGCGTCGACGGAAACCCCTGGACGTCGTCTTGGGGGTGTCTCGAGACCGCCTGGGGCCGCCGGGATTGCTGCCTGAGGGCTCCCCGGGGCGATTTTAAGCCTCCCAAAGGCGGGCCCAGGCCCCGGGCCACACATTTGTGGTCGGGGTCCCGGCCCCTGGCCCCCGGCCCCCAGACTCGGTCCCCCGTTATGTGTATACATCTGCAGTCTGGCCGTCGCCGTACTAATTAGTTCACCGGTTCGGTACATGATCGGGTTGGGACGGCTACGGCGCGCGGGCCCATGTGAGTTCCGAAGTCGAAGCGGCAATGTCCTGTCAGGAGGCCTCCTGGGGCCTCTTGGGGCCGTTTGGGTGAATGTGTAGGGCCTCTTGGAGGACTCTTGGGGCCTCTTGGGGGCCTCCTGGCAGTCTCGGGAGGCTCCCTTGGGCGGAGGGCTCGAAATACACATTCGAGATCGCCCTTCTTGGACCCCTCTGGGAGGCCCTCTTGGACTCCCACGAGGCCCCAAGAAGCTTCCCAACGGCACCCAAGATGCTCGAAGAGGCCCTGGGGGCTGCCAAGAGACCCCCAATACACCCCAAGAGGACTCCACCGAGCTCCCAGTAGAAATCAGAAAGAACTCCAAGGCGCATCCAAGACGCTCCTGGCCTTTCTGCTCTCTCTCCTCCTCCTCCTCCTCCTCCTCTCCTCCTCCTCCTCCTCCTCCTCTTCCTCTCCTCCTCTCCCTCCTCCTCCTCCTCCTCCTCCTCCTCCTCCTCCTCCTCCTCCTCCTCTCTCTCTCATCATCATCTCATCGCATCATCATCATCATCATCATCATCATCATCATCATCATCATCATCATCATCATCATCATCATCATCATCATCATCATCATCATCATCATCATCAGCATCATCATCATCATCATCATCATCATCATCATCATCATCATCATCATCATCATCATCCATCATCATCATCATCATCATCATCATCATCATCATCAAAATCATCATCATCATCACCCTCATCATCATCATAAGAATCATCATCATCATCATCAGCATCATCATCAGCATCATCATCATCAGCATCATCATCACCATCATCATCATGAATCAGCATCATCATCATCATCATCATCATCATCAACACCATCATCATGAATCATTATCATCATCACCATCATCATCATCATCATCATCAGCATCATCATCATCAACATCATCACCATCATCATCAGCAGCAGCATCCGCCTACTCCTCCTCCTCCTTCTCCTCCTCCTCCTCCGCCTCCTCTTTCTCCTCCTCCTCCTCCTCCTTCCTCATCCCTCCTCCCCCTGACGACCATGACGATGCTGATGATAATAATGATCATGATCATGATCATGATGATGATGATGGCGATGATGATGGTAATGATGATGCTGATGCTACTGATGATGATGATGCTGATGGTGCTGGTGATGTTGATGGTGATGATGATGGTGATGATGCTGATAGAGGTGGTGCTGATGGTGATGATAATGAGAATGGTGATGATGATGCTGATGATGATAAAGGTTCATGACGAGGACGATGATGATGAGGGTGATGATGATGATGACTACGATGATGATGATGAAGATGATGGCGATGATGATGACAATGATGAGGGTGATGATGATGACGATGATGATGATCATCATCCTGATGGTGATGATGCTGATGATGATGATGACGATGATGCTGATGATGACAATAATGCTGATGATGCTGGTGGTGACGATGATGATGATGCAACTGTTGCTGCTGATGATGATAGTGATCCTGCTGCTGATGATGATGCCAAAACCTTAATGTTGGAGGAGGAATGTGAGGACTGGAATGAGCAGGAAAAGTAGGAGAAGGGCGTAGGAGGAGCTAGGAGGACGAGCAGGAGCACGCGGAAGACGAGGAGGAGAAGAACGAGGAGTGGAAGCAGGAGAAGGTAGGAGGTAGGAGGTCGGAGGTAGGATCGAGGACAAGGAGAAGGAAGTATTTAGGAAAGTGAGAAGAATCAGCAGGAGCAGGACGAGGCAAAAGGAGGGAGAGGATGAAGAATACGAGACGACTCGCAGATGTATCAATACGTGTTTGGGGGGGGTGCGTTCGAGGAGGCTGGTGGGAAGCATGTCGCCCAAGGCCACGAAGGCCCCTCATTGGTGTCGCGCCGGGATGGCTGAGAAAACAATGCTTCATGGCGCACCTGTGTCAGCCCATCCAAAAAGAATGATGCAGCAAGGTGCCGCAAGACGGCTTGCTGCCAGAGTGAGGTGGGATCCGTAACATTTTGGCCCCAGCCCTCTGGTAGTGCAGTTCCTTCAGTGCTGCCGTTGAGTCGGGCTCTCTGAAGCAACCAGCAAAATCGCGCACAAATCGGTCAGGAGTCCTGGGGATTCCCCTCAGAAGTCCTCAGGATTCCTCTCAGGAGTCCTCAGGATTCCTCAGGACCCATCAGGATTCCCCTCAGGAGTCCTCAAGATTCCCCTCAGGAGTCCTCAGGATTCCTCTCAGGATCCCTCAGGATTCCCCTCAGGATTCCCTCAGGATCCTGCAGAATTGATCCCTCAGGATTCCCCTCAGGCGTCATCAGGATTCATCTCAGGATCCCTCAGGATTCCCCTCAGGAACCCTCCGGATCCCGCGGGATCCTTCAGGATCTCTCAGTTGAGCTCGTCAGGGTTACCCAGTGTAGCGTGGGCGGAACATGGGGGGCGGTTCTGCGGAGGCTCGGGAAAGTGCTCTCAGACAGCCGGTGAACGCCCCGTCCCACCGGTGAGAGGTGCAGTTTCGGAGTGTGGGCGTGGGTGGCTGGTGTATGCACGGTTCGGCCGGTGAAAGGTCCACTTCGCTGGTGTAGACCTTTTCTCGGGGGTGGGGGGGGGTGTCTGGCTCTGGACATCTGCTTCAATGCGACTGTTTGCAGCAGTGCGCCCTATGGGGGAGACTCCTCCTGCTTGAGACGGGCGCCAAAAAAAGTCAAGATGTACTCCATGGGGGGGTGGATGGGGTGCAAGGGCCCGCGCCGATCGGCCAAACAATGAATAAGAAAAACGATCGCATGAGGAGCGCAACTTCGGGGGAGAGACTGCGTCTCTAAGGTGTCAGCAACACTCTGTTCGGCGGCGCGAAGCCAAGCTTCCAGCACGACTTGCGATCGAAAACCGAGCGCCGCGCCCCAGTGGGAACGCAACAGTCGAAAGCAACTTGCGCGGCGCGTGGGCAAGACCAGCATCTCATGCCCAACGTGGCGACAGTGTGACGAAGAAAAACTGGGCACCCTGCCCATGCGGGAGCGCGAGCTTCAAAAACAACGTAAACAACCTCTCGCCATGGCGGGCGACGTGTGCTCCGCTCCCTACGCAACATTAATACAACCACCAACCCACAAACGGGTGACGCAAAACAACAAACGCGCGCAACGAAATCTTCTAGGCGGAAAGCTGAAAAAGCCAACATAATAGTACTGAGCACCGCGGCTGCGAAAGACGACGGGGTACGCGCATCAATTGGGGCCGTCCCTTGACTGGAGGATTTCTGGTGTGGTGGTCTTCTCAATCTCCCCCCGCGCATGCTGCGATATCTGTGGCCAAGACGGCCATGCCAAGAGGGACACGTTGCTCGTGCTACGGGTACGCTCGTCTCTCTTTCTGACTACCTACCAGACCACCCCAACCTAACCCGAACACCCAAATTTCGGGTTGGGGGGGGTACGGTTTCCACATGTGTTTGTTCGATGTTCCCCGACGCCCCCCCCACTAGGAATGGAGAACAAACTGGGGCCTTCGGGTTGGGTTGGGATGGTTTGGTGGGTGGTGAATTTCTTTGTGAACAATTCGCACGTCTGCGGCCAGACAAGATGTTTCGGCTGATGGGTAAGGCGGACAGGCCAGCCTCACAGGTGCTGTAAGGACGCGAATAGACGAGCGCGTTCCACTACTCGCAAAATAACTACTCGCAAATGGCCTGAATCCTCCGCGGGGAACCTACGGTACATTTCATCGAAACAAAGAAATATGGTTCGGACGTTTGCGAGTAGGCACGTTGCGAGTGGTGGAACGCGCTCGGTGAGAAAACTAGGGGAAAAAGAATATGCACGAAAACCGGATGAGGTCGGGAAAATGAGGCAACTATCGAGCTGGCCAATTCGGACGGGTCAGTGGGGCCGCCCACTCCTACCCTTTCTCCCATTCAACGAAAACGACACGAATGGAAATCAAGATTGGCCAGGGGAAGGGGGGGCGGGCCCAGTGATGACCGCTACGACGAAATACATAAAGCCTTAATCCTTCAGCGGTTGGCGTTGGTATCACCCTAAACATGCGCGAGTTCCAGAAGAAGCAGTGTTGCCACCACTCGTCGCGGTCCAGAGCTCTCCTTCCAAGCGGAACCGACCGCGCTACCTTGCCCAAGACCGTGGCGCCAATTTCCTGGGGCCGCCTTAGTGGCAAATCGCTGCGGACGCTCGATCCGCAGGGCTGTTCCGTCGGTGCCTCCTAAGCACAAGGGACCAGCAAGGCCAGCTTTGCCGCTCTCGCGAAAGCAGCTGAGTGAGACCAATGCCCGCTGATTCAGAATCCACGATCCCACGCAGAACGTTCGGAGGGGCGTAAGGATGTCTTCGGTCGACGCCAAGCCTACTTACCCGCACAAACCGCTACTCCCCAGACCTTTCCCGGGGTGTGGTCTGGCAAACACACCGGGGCGAACTCAGCAGTGACTGCGAGGGACGGGGAGCGGTATCGGTATAGATCTATACACATGTATATATAGATAAGAGAGAGAGAGAGAGAGAGAGAGAGAGAGAACAAATGCGAAGGAGCGATGCCTTGCCGACCAAGCCCTCTCCCTCGAGCACCCTGGGCCCCAACATGGTGCTGCAGCTCGTGACCGCAGGCACCGCCGCCACCACATCGAGAGGCAGCACGAGGTGCCCCCGACTTCCTCAAACTTTGCTGAAGAATCACGCTCTCGCTGGGGCCTTCCGCAGAACCTGAGGAGGAGGAGGAAGAGGAGGAGGGGGCGGGTGAGGAGGAAGAGTACTAGGAGGAGGAGGGGCCGGAGGAGCAGGAGGAAGAGTAATAGGAGGAGGAATCCCGATCTCGCCGCTCGGGGATCGTTTGGACGCCCGAAATGGGTACGGAAAAAATGGGTGCAATGCCCAACAACAAATGTTGTCCCAAACCGACAGCGGCCGCTGTTGGGCAGGCGGCCTTCTCTCAAATGGACACAGGCCGCGGCGGCGCGGACAGCGAGTCCTGCTCAAGATGCACAAGAACTGCTGTTGGGCATCGTACCCCTTCCTTCTGTACCCAGGTCGTTCGTGCAGGATCGTGCTGCGGGCGACGTGGGCACCGCGCGCCAGAGCGCCCGCGAGGCGCCGCGCACGCGCGCGCCGAAGCGCGCGCCAGCCGACGCGGGGCCTGGCCGCGCCGGCGGCCGCGGGGCCCGGCGGCCGCTCCGCGCCCAGGCCCGGCCGTCGCTCCTGAGGCGCTGGGAGGGCCGCGCGGGGGAGGGCCCGAGCACATGGGGGCCTCCCGGAGCGGGGTCCGAGCAGAGGAGGGGGCCCAAGGACACACGCATAAGTACACTCACGAATCACGGCGTCCCCCAGATGTGTTCCCATGTTTTCTGGGCTTCTGTCTTCTCTCCCACTTCCCATGGTTTCCCATCTTTTCCTGGGGGATCGACGACTGATTGTGTCTGCGTGTTTTTTCCTTCCCGCACAGAGGCCTCCCAGAGCGGGGTCTGACCAGTGGGAGGTCAAGGGATCGCGCCGCATCGCGGCATGCATCGCCGATGCATCGGCGATGCATCGGCGATGCATCGGCGATGCACCGGCGACGTCGGCGATGCCTCGGCGGCGTGGGCGTGGAGAAAATCGGGCTCCGCATCGAGCCGCATCTCCGATGCATCGGCGATACGGCGCGAACCTCCGACCCCATCTGCTCGGAAAGCCGCCTAGAGAACAGCGGGCGCCTCTAACCAGCGTCGCGCGTTTCCCGATCCCTCAGATTGCCAAGCCCAAGGCGACTACAATACTCGGGACGCACCCGCAGAAGCTGAGGGAATCCCCGAGATCGGCATCGAGACAAGGCGACACCAGTCTTAGGGATAGGGGATGTTTCTGGCAGGTAAGCCTGGGCAGAAAGCACAGGCGGCTGGTTCGACGCCGTCTTTGGACCTCTGAAGGCGGAGTGCGGGCCTCGGGACCGTCAAAGAACGACTCGGGATGAAGAGCTGGCCCTGGGGCAGAGGTCGGGGGGTCCAGGGGCCAACGCGTCGAGCAAATCATCGAACCGCTGGATGTCCGGGGGAGGGGAGGCGAGGGGAGACTACTGCGCCTGTGTCACCCCCAGGGGGGACTGCGCTGGGGGCACGGCATCTGTCGGAGAGTGGAACACACACACACACACACACACACACACACATTCTGGTCGACTCAATCGATATACTCCGTGGTTGTGGTTGGAGGCCCCCCCGCATGGGGGCCAAGTAGCTGGTGTCGGAGAATCACGCCGCCACGTCGGCGGCGCATCGGCGATGTTGGCACGTCGAACATCGGGCTCCACACATCGAGCCACATCGACGACGCAACGCCGATCCGGAACGATCCGCCGGGTCCATCTGCTTCGACCACGCTTGGGAGGCCAGGAGTGGTGCTGTGGTTTGCCTCCTCCCCCTTCCTTCTGTCAACGAGGGAGGAGGAGGAGAAGGAGGAGGAGAAGGAGGAGGAGCGGGAATCGGAGGCATCCAAGACGGGGGCGTCCAAGAGGGGGAGTCGCAGATCATGCGGGACGAGGCGGGGGCCAGGGGACGTAGTGAAATAAGAATAGGGATCATGAAATCTGGGGGGATCTCGTGGCCCCCTCACTGAGAGATCCCCCCCTAGTCACCACCCCTCCCAATCCTAGACACCCCCGAGGGTCGGCCGGTCTCGGACTCGCTGTCACAGGCCTGGCCCTGGTGCCATGCATGCCCACCTAGAGGCGACTCTTTGTTGTTTCAGCCTGCGCTGCATTTGCAGTCCGACAATGCGAAGTCATTTTCTGAAGCCGTAAAGAGCAGGATAACAACATCAGGTCAGTCTACAAGCGCCGTCGCCAACATTGCCAGGTTCGACCCAGTATCGTCAACCACTACTCGCACCACATCCAGCTGATGTTTGTCGGTTCGGGCTTAGACGGAGCAAGTCCATGTACAGCAACCCAGTACTCTCGAGTCCTTATACATCTACTCTGTTTCCGCTCTCTCCGCTTCCCGCCGACTTCCTCTTCCGTCCCTCGCCCTCACCCTCCCCCCTACATTTCCTTAGGATGCAATTCTTTGGAGGTGAAATGTTGGTCGAAAACTCGCCAAATACAGCCCAATCCCCGCTAATCCCGCTTAAGTCCGCTAAATCTGGTTTGATCCAGCTTAATCCCTAGCTCAATCTGGGCTCATCTGGATTGATAGCCCGTTCATCGGTTCAATTGCCCTCAATCGTGGCAGTACTCCACCTCCTCCTCCTCCTCCTCCTCCTCCTCCTCCTCCTCCTCCTCCTCCTCATCATCATCATCATCATCATCATCATCATCATCATCATCATCACCAGCATCATCAGCATCAGCATCATCAGCAGCAGTATCAGCATCAGCATCAGCATCAGCGTCAGCATCATCATCATAATCATAATCAGCATCATCATCATCAACATCATCATCATCATCATCATCATCATCATCATCATCATCATCATCAGCATCATCATCAGCAGCAGCAGCATCATCGTCATCATCAGCATCATCATCATCATCATCATCCTCCTCCTCCCCGCCGCCACTTCCTCCTCCTCCTCCTCCTCCTCCTCCTCCTCCTCCTCCCCCTCCCCACTCCACCCTCCTCCGCCCCCTCCACCCATGCCTCCTCCTCCCCCTCCCATCCCCTCACCCCCAAACATCCGACGTCGTGTCCTAAGTACCTTGCCTGAAATCTGGATCCTCTTCTCAGGTACTTGTCTTCATCCCGAGTCACCGTTGACCATCCCAGACCCAGCGAGGAGCCCCAGAGGACGCAAACGGGCAAAAATCGTGCGTTGTTTTTTGTCCACGGCGCGACGGAGTCTGGGCCTGGCGCAGCTGCTGGAAAGCATCCCGAGGCACGAGACTTCCTGCCCCCTCTTCCCCTCACAACTCCCTCCTTTCCCCCCAGCTGGTCAGCCGTCGCCCTCCGGACCCATCACGGGGTGCGCTTGGACCTAAAGGGACACTCTGGCCGTGGATACGAGAAGCAACCCCGGACGCAAAACGAAAAAAAGAAACGCTCAAGAACGCAGTTCCCCGAAGCTCGACCCTCGAAGCTCTAAGCTCGACCCCCGAAGCTCAAAGCTCGAAGCGCGACCCTCCACCGAAAGGTCGCCCCTCGAAGCTCGAAGCTCGAGGCGCGACCCTCGAAGCTCGAAGCTCGACCATCCCCCTCGAGGCAGTCCCCCGAACCGAAGTACGACCCATCGAAGCTCGAAGCCCGACCCCCCGCCCCATCCCCTTCGCCCCCCCCCCCCCGCAAGGCGCTCCGCGGGCGGGGGCGCGGACACGGAGCTGCGCGGCGCCCTCTTGGCGGAGTCGGCGCGGCCGCTGCTCCCCCAGCAGCCTCTCCGAGGGGCACGGGCGAGGAAGGGGGGGAGGGGCGACCGCGTGGCGCCATCCGAACCCGGCCCCCACCACAAATCGGCTCTCGTGAATCGATGGAGGAGCAGGGGCAGGGTTTGGATTTCGCCGCGTGCTCGACGAATCTTGAACCGTGGCCTACCCCCGCTGCCCATCGAGTGGCCTGAACTGTTGATCAGCGAGGGTAGGGTTCGGATTTCGCCGCCGAGCGACGGGGCGGCCCAAGTTTCGGGCGGATCGACATTTTACCCCCTGGCGCTGGTCCTCATCTGGGGGCCAGCTTCAGCGCCGCGGAGCCGTCAAAACTGGATCCGCGGCGCGGGGGCGGAGAGAGGGGGCCTGGGGTGAGCCACTGCTTCTGGGCACTATTGAGGCCCTCCACAAGCCCCAGGACCGCCAAAAAGTGCTCAGAATGAGAAGCCCTGGAGAAAGCCCGAGCGCGTGCGGAACCCGCAGTACAGTTTTCGCCCTGGTCGCGGCACCGCTGATCTTCTCATGTTGGTGAGACGCACGATATGGGCCTCACACAACAGCAGCTTAGAAGACTGTGACTCTTGAGAAAGGACTGGGCAAAGAAGGGTCGACGGCATGGAACCCGACAGCATGAACATAAAGCACCACACAAGACCAATCAAACCAAACTAAGGAAAGGGAGCAACATGCGATTATTGCTCCATGTTGCCCGCTGTCGCCCCACTTGTTCGCTGCGGTGCGGACGTGCATGCAAAACTAAGCGCTCAACAGCATGGCCGTTCGTGGAAAGCCTGACATGTGCTGCGTACGTTGACGACGGTCTGTCCAGTCTGTTCGCCTCGCAACGCTCACTCAACTTAGAACGCATGTCTAATGCCGCTGTCGAGAGGGGCATGTCATGTGTTCTGGGCATAAGTCACAACATGCACCACGAATGCATCAAGGTACACATGCTCACCAAGAGAGTACATAGTGTGCGGGAAGAGAGTCAACTGATTGATTTGTTGGGGAAGGTTACCAAGTTGCACTATGATATCGCGTTATTCTTGGAGACGTGGCACAAAGACCGAGAAGAAGTAATAGACATGACATCTGGAAGACAATATTACTTGAGTCGAGGTGCATTGCACAGAGGTGTTGGCATCAGCATATCATCTGGATTTTCCTTACGCTGTGTTAGAGGCTCGTTTTCAACCGTACTCTCCAAAGGTATGTTCCTTAGATGTTTAAATGGGTGGCAAACTGTTCTGGGCAATTGCGTGTTACTTTCCGACTGCTTGTGCTTGGGACAGCGATGGCGAGGTGCACTGAGTATACGACAACGTATATGTACTGCTTCTGGATTGCGACGCGCATGGTCGGATCCCTTTGGTCGGCGGCGACTGAACGCATCTATTGGTGCACCTGCTGTTTTCGACGACGCTGACACCCTAGGGGTTTGCGGGGTTGGGCCCCGGAGCGAACGTGGAAATTTGATGGTGCAGCCCGTATTGGAACACGGGATGTCTTGAGCCGGCACTCGGTGGCAGAACTTAGTGAACATGGCTGGATCTGCAGACACACTGTGAACGGAGCAGTGGCACAGGTAGACTTTCTCCTGGCAGGTAGCCAGGTCCACTGTCACAGCACATGATACAACAGTGGTTAACCAATCGGTCTTGACCGTCGTTGCGTCCACAGCATTGCGCAGCTGAGGGTGGCTCCAAATTCAAGAAGTGGAAACCAAATCTGGACGAGCAGGGCCAACCACAACAGTTTAAATGTTATTCGAGCATGTGGGTGCTAGAACATGGGGGCACTTCGTCTGGTCGAAGCAACCCTTCAAAATGCAGCAGCGAAATTCGAATATGAGGCAACCCGCAAGATACGTTTCAAACCAAGTTCACGCATCCAGAAGCTTCGGGTTCAAAGAAGACCCGCCCGCGACCAGGCTGACTGCAAGCGGCGTAGCTTTGAGATTCGTCACTTGCACAGACAGGAGGTCAGAGCACGAAGAAGCACAATTAGAGGACAGATTAAAGAGTTCAACGCATCGGCACGAAATCGAATCCTTGCTGGAAAGGATCAAGGGGAATAGCCAGCCCCAACCACCATCGGAGAGTGAAGTTGCTCCATTCCTTGACGGACGGTCTGCCGATGCACCGCCTGCGCCAGAAAGACCGCAAACTCTCGCAGAATTTCTGTTCTCCACGACAGAACTCAACGCCGCGACAGGGAGGATGCATTCGAAGTGAGCTTCTGATGACATTGGCTTGGAAGCTGAACTTCTACATCACACTACAGCTCCTTCCAGAAACTGTTTAGGATTGTGCAACAGAGAATTGCTGGAGGGGCTTCCACCAGAGAGCTTGCGACGGACCTTTTCCCAGATACTGCTGAAACATGCAAAGGCCGTAGCTGTGTCTGATGACTGGCCCATTGCTAGCGTGCAGGTGTTGTAAAGTTATTGCGTATGAGTGTTGAAGCGCTGGGAAAACAAAAACGTTGGACAAACACCACGCTGAAAAACAGCACGCGTTCTGGGCCGATTATCGTATCGAGGAGCCCCTCCTGACAGCAAACGTAGTCTTGGACAAAACGAGGTCAGCTGGTGCCCCCGTGTGGGCTGTGATATTAAACTTGTCGAAGGCTTTCGATCATGTGAATTGGTCTGCTTTGTGGTCAGCTTTGAGCGGGCGCTGTATCTCTGACCACTTCATCTGGGTACTGCAGGTGCTTTGCGAGAACCAGACCAGGCAAATGAAAGACAACTCTCGACGCGGCGACCGCTGTGACATCCAAGCTGGAGTCCGGCAGGGTTACGTTATCAAAGCAAGGCTCTTCGGATGCTCGTCAGAAAAAGGTGATGGCCGGCTGATAACGAAAGCCCCGAACAGCACGCTTTGACCTGGGAGACGGATTGCGCCGATTACTGGATTCACGGTTCGCTGGCGACGTTGTATGTTTCGCTAGACGCAAACAGAGGCTGCGATCCTTCTGACGTCGCTGGTTGGGGAGTTTGTCGCTGTTGGCCTGATGCGGAAGGCCAACAAGACTGTAGCTCGAACTACTAAAGAGAAGCCGCCAAACGAGATTGTGCGCCCATCTGGCGTGCGTGTCAAACGGGGGAATTATCACAAAGGGTTGTGATGCAAATGGTCAACCGACATTTTAAAGCAGGACCATCAGTATCACCTTCAAGCTGCTACGCGTTTTCTACGCGAGCCAATGGACTATTGCAGAGAAGCCCGTATCGGTTGAACTACGTTTGAAATCACCGTCATGCCGTCATCATTATGATTACCTTGTTTTGGTTCTGCACGCCGGGTGGTCGACGCAGCCGACGGGAAAAACTGGGCGCTGCGTGTCGGAAGCTTCTTCGGCAACATGTCGGGCCGCCTGGTGGAATTGTTCGGACCAGTCCGCGGCATGAGATTATATGTGGCACGAGCGTGCTTACGAAAAGTTGGCACGCAGCCAAAACCCTGGTCGGAATTACTGCTGCATCAACACTGGAACTTCGCTGGGTAAGTCGCCAACCTGCCTGCCAAAAAATCGTTGTCGCATGTTCGTGCGCGGTCACATGCCGGGAACAGGTCCAAGAGAAGATCACGGAACACGTGGGAACTTGATGTTCAGAACTCCTGCGACGAGCGCGGGCTCGGTGACTCGAGAGCAGCAGCCAAAGTCACGGATTCCTGAAGCCGCACGACGGGAAATGTCGTTGACCACATGAGCGTCTGCTAGTTTTCGCCCGCGTGTGCCCTAAGCGGCCACCCCTTCGCGGGCATGCAGGCTTAACCCTTGACTTAATTGGGCGGAGACACCTCTGATGCAAATCGAAAGCGGAGTGGGAACTTCGAGACCAGATGGGGGCCCTGAGAGGCAATCAGAGCTATCACGGAGCATCCAGGAAGTACCAGAGTACTGGATAAGCTGAGGAAACCACGTTCCATGCATCCGTCAGGTTGGCGAGAAAAACTCAGAATCGATGATGCACGCGTGTTGACCATGTCGGCGTATCCCCTCGGCGCGTGATGGCTTGTGCGCTCAGAACGAAGCCGGCTAGATGCAGTCCGCATTCCGTTGCTGAAGTCTGAGGCGCGTGCTGGGTACACACTGCACGAACAGATCTTGCATCAGCAAGACCGAGGTTACGCGCAGAACCTCAGCGCAAACTCTGTCCGAAATGCTCGCTATCTGGCAGATCGCACTGAATGCGGAAGTTGCGGGCAGCGGCGGAGCGTCGTAAGTGTGTGGCGCCCTATGCAAGCATGATGGTACCCCACGCATTTGGGCGACCAACCGTCGACCAGACCACCCGCAGCACCCGGGGCAACATGTGTGCTAAATCAGAAAGGTCTGCACTTCCGATGTGACTTCTTCCCTTGGAATAGCGCACAGGCACCGCACTGGTCCACGCCGCTCTGCTCACGCGTCCCTTTGGATGCTCGGCCATGCTCGCTCGCTCGCCCCTCGCCACCATGGGGTGGGAGCATCGAAGGCGAGGGGGGGGAGGAATGACGGCGAGTGTTTGTTGTGCGGACCGTAGCCTCTGGCTCAAGCCGTCTCGGCTCGAGCCCGCCCCTGGCCCAGGCATTCGCCGGGCCCGCCCCGTCGCGATGGCTTCCGGCGGCGGCTGCCCCACTGGCGCCGCCCTGCGGCGGCGGCAGCGCCTTGCCGCCGCCGCCCGAGACGGGCCGCCCCTCCCGGGCCCTCCGCCTGCCGCTGCTGCGGCTGCTGCCGCCGCCTCCCCCCTGGGGGCCGGTGCGCGGGAGGCGGCAGCGGCTGGCGGCGGCGGCGGCGGCTGGCCCTGCTCGGCCCCCAGTGGCGCCTGGCCGCCGCCGCCCTGGCTGGCGGCGGTTGCCGCCGCCGCTGCCGCCGCCGCTGCCGCTGCCGCTGCCGCTGCCGGCTCCCCGCCGGCGGCGGCGGAGGGCGCGGTGGCCGGCGCCGCCGCGGCCGCCCCCGCGGCCGCGGCCGCCCCCGCGGCGCTGCCGCCGCCGCCGCGCTGCCGCCGCCCCTGCTGCTGCCGCCGCCCCCGCTGCTGCCGCCGCCGCCGGCTCCCTTCTGGCGGCGGCGGCGGCCGCCGCGGCCGGCGTGGCGGCCGCTGTCGCGGCGGCTTCTGCTGCCGCCGCTGCCGTCGCGGCGGCTTCTGCTGCCGCCGCTGCCGCCGGCTCCCCGCCGGCGGCGGCCGCCACGGCGGCTCGCCGCTTGCCCGGCGGCCTCCCCCGCGGCCTGCCCGGCGGCCGACCCCCCGGCCCGCCTAACTGCCAGCCCCGCGGCCGGCCCCCAGGCCCGCCCGGCGGCCTGCCCCCCTTGCTGCCCGAGTGCCTGCCCCGCGGCCTGGCCGGCTGCCAGCCCCGCGGCCCGCCCGAAGGCCAGACCGTTGGCCCGTCTCGTGGCCAGCCCGATGGCCCGCCCCACGGCCTGCCCCGCAGCCCGCCCTACGGCCCGCCCCGCGGCCAGCCCGACGGCCCGCCCGACGGCCAGCCCCACGGCCAGCCTCCCAGCAAGCCCGGGCAGCCCCACAGCCAGCCCGACGGCCAGCCCGACGGCCAGCCCCGCGGCCAGCCTGACTGCCAGCCCCGCGGCCAGCCCCATGGCCAGCCCCACGGCCAGCCCGGCTGCCAGCCCCGCGGACAGCCCCACGGCCAACCCGACTGCCAGCCCCACGGCCAGCCCGACTGCCAGCCCGACTGGAGCAGTACACTGGTGACAGCAGGAAGACGTCCGCTGGCGATAGTCAGCGGCAACTGCAGCGAACAACGCACCCTTGCATCCCCGTGTCCACGCCCTGACGCCCTCGCGGGCACCCCTGGCGGCCAGCAGACCTTGCAAAGAGAAGCAGGGCGCGTTAGGCCAGAAGGGAACGCAGCGGTGGTGCCATCGGACTCACAACGAGAAGCAGGGCCCGTTAGGCCAGAAGGGAACGGTGACGGTCCTCACGGTTCTGACAGTCAGGAAAATGTACCCTTGCACCCTTGCATCCCTGCGTCCTTCGGCGTGCAAGGCACCCTCGCATCCCCTCGGCCGGGCCCTGACGCCCTTGCGGGCACCCCTGGCGGCCAACAGACCTCTCAAAGAGAAGCTGGGCCCGTTAGGCCAGAAGGGAACGCAGCGGCTGTGTCATCGGACTCGCAAAGACAAGCAGAGGCAGGGTCCGCTGGGCCAGAAGGGAACGAAGCGGTTGTGACATCGGACTCACAGGGAGAAGCAGGGCCCGTTAGGCCAGAAGGGAACGGAGACGTTCCTCACGATTCTGACGAAAATGTCCCCTTGCACCCTTGCATCCCCGTGTCCTTTGGCGACGACAAGGACGAGACCGACGATGGGCAGGTCGTGGAGGCGGAGACGAAGGACGGGGGCGCGGTGAAGGAGGAGGCTACCCTGATTCCCGAAGCCCCAAAAGCCTTCAAGATGGCCTCAAGACGGCAAGGAGGACAACAAGAGGGCCCCAAGACGGCCCAAGAGGGCGCCAAGATGGCCCAAAAGCGGCCCAAGATGACCCCAAGTCGGCCCAGGTTAGCGCTCAGACGGCCCAAAGTCCCCAAGGGAGCCCTTCAGGGGCCCGACAGGTCTTCAGGGGGGCCGAAAGGGTCTTCAAGAGGCCCTTCAGGGGGAGCAAAAAGCCCTCCAAGGGGCTCTTCAGGGGGTCCCAAAGGCTCTTCCGGGGGGCCCAAAGCCTCTCCCGGGGGGCCCAAAGTCTCTTCAGGGGGGGCCCAAAAGCTCTCAGGGGGGCCCAGAGGCTCTTCAGCGGGGCCGAGAAAGGCCAGGCTTTTCAGGAGGGCCGAAAGAACTCTTCAAGAGGCTCTTCAGGAAGCCCTTCAGGGGGGCCGAAAGGCTCTTTAGGGGGGCCGAAAGGCTCTTCAAGAGGCCCTTCGGGGAAGCCAAGAAGCCCTTCAGGGGAGCCAAGAAGCCCTTCAGGGGCCGCCTTCACCGTTCTCGAGGATTCGCATACTCCGGAAACCTCTTGGCGGTACTAAAGCCCACATGGCCGCGCAAAAGCCCATCTGGCCGCGGTAAAACCTTCTCTCAGGAAGGGCGTGGCGGGGCGCGGGCAGAGAAGGCACAATAAAGGATCCACGGCGATTCTACGCGACGTGCCGAAGCCCGCGGGCGACGCGGATGCATAACCAGCAGCCAGGGGGAGGGCGAGGAGCGGGGGGAAAGAGTCCTCGCCCTGTCCCTGGCAGACACCCTCCACCTTCCCGCCCTTGGGGAGCAAAAACACCCGTGCCGCTGCTCCACGGGCCCCTCCCGGGGTTCGCTCTGTCCAGGACCCCGAGGCGAATCCCGCCGCGGCGACGAGGGACTGGTCGGCGGCCTCCGCAGATCCCCCCCCCTCCGCAGAGGAACAGAACGCGGAACGAGCATCAACGCTCGAAGGTCCGCGCGGAGCTCCCCAAGGTGTAGGTCTACCCAGCTTTCCTCTTCGATCGTGAGGCCCTCCGCTCTCCGCAAGGGCAGGCGGGGCGCGGCGCCGACGCGGTCTCTCGCCGCTGCGCCTGCAGCGGCGGCCGCGGCGGCCGCCTCCGCGGGGTCGCGGCCCTGGGAGTTGCTCCGGGGCAGCAAGCGCCGGGCCACCTGCTGGCATGACGGAAACGGGTCCTGAGGGAAACGGGTCTTGGACACTATTGGGCCCCCCTGGGAGGCCACATGCGAGCCTTACCCCGCCAACCCACGATCTCGAAGGGGGGTGGTCGGGCAGGGTTCACATGTGGCCTCCTGCCTTCCCCTGTGGACCGCTTCGTCGTCCTAACCCGTTTTCTGACTCTCCCAGGGGCCGTCCCGCACCGCCGAAAACTGCAAAGAGAACTCTGGGCCCGTGACCCTCAGGACCCCTCGCCTTCACGGCGAACCTGCACGCACAGCGGACGCAAGGCATCCCCCTCGCATGGCGCTATTAAGCGCTGTTGGGCGCCATGTGGGGGCTATTCGAACACTGATTGAGCGGCATACTCGGCGCTACTGGACGCTTCCTGGTGCTACTGAAGCGCTATTGGGCGCGCTATACGCCGATACACATTCACTCCGAGACGGTCGGAAGCTTCTGTGATCTACTACGGCGTGGGCATTGGATAAGGAACCCTTAGATAAGGCAACCAGGGTCTGGAAGCCAGTGGAAGTCCAGTCGTGGATCGGCCATGGATATCAACGCCGCCCTCACTGGATAAGGAATCCTCCAGGGTATGGCGCCTCCCGGGACTGCTCATTAAACGAACGCCTCCACCGTATCTAAACTACCTGGCTTCACAGCCATGGCCGCCAAGATGCCCAAAATGCTCCACAGGATGGCTTCAGAAGGGCTCCGGCACGCCGAAGAGGCCTCAAGAACATCCATTGTGGCCCCAAAACGGCCCGAGACGCCGAAAGCGATGGGCGTGTTTTCCACCACCACCACCATACGTTGGAGGTGGGGGTCATCCTCCTCCTCCTCCTCCTCCTCCTCCTCCTCCTCGTCCTCGTCCTCCTCCTCCTCCTCCTCCTCCTCGCCCTCCTCCTCCTTCTCTCCTTCAGCTTATGGTGGTGGTGGCGGTGGAAAACAGGCTCATCAGAAAGAGGGCCCCGAGGGGACCCCGAAGAGCCGGGCCGCGCGCGGATGCCTCCCCCCCGTTGGCCCCCTCGTGGTCCTCCTGCGGAACGCGGCGTGCGAGGTCTGAGGCTACCGCTCTGCCTAGAAAGAGGCTCGCGGAAGCTTCTGGTCGCCCCCATGCCCCCATGGCAACCAACAGCGCGCCCGATCGCGCGCCAATTGGACACAGCCACCTCCTTCACATGGCGCTATCGGGCGCTATCGGGCGCTCTCAGAGCACTGTTCGGCGCTCCTGGGCCCTCTTTGGCGCAATCTGGCGCTATTCGCCCACATGCATTGAATCAAGAACGAGCGCAAGCTTACGCGATTTACTATCTGGCAAGACCTGATTCGACTGCTCTGTGGCTGTGCATCGCGGCCTCTTCGTGGGCATGTCGCTCAGGCGTGTTCAACTTCCTGCGAGGGATGTGACCGCTCGTGCCTCGTGACCGCCTGGAGTCAGCGTGGTGCGGTGGGCTGTCGCGATGCAGTTGAGATGTCTTGTGGAAGGTTGGAAGGTGGTTTAGCATGCTGCAGAAGCGTGGCTCGATCTGGTCTGATGGAAAGCCTGCGGCCGATTCGGAGATGGTGCAGCGGTGCGCTGCCCACCCAGATGACCTCGACCACGTGCGCTTCGTGGCCCCCGCTCGAACCACGTGTGCATGACAGCAGCGTGGTCATCCCGAGAGGGGTGGTCCTCTCGAGAGGCTGACTCTGCTGCAGGAGCATCGCTTCTGCCAGTGCGAAAGGCACCTCGCACCCTGCCAGACGCCCGCGGTTTGCCTGGTCTGGTCGACATGGTTAGAAGGCGTCGGCCTGACACCTATGGAGAAGACCCGCGCCTTCTAAGAGACAGGGTACTTCTAAGAAGCCCTCCCCCCTTCCCCCTCCCCCTATCTGCGCGCGGATGACAACGCGGCGCGTGGAGCTTGAGGAGAGGTGGCTGCTGGAAGCTGGATGACAAGGACCTCGCGGGTGCGAGATGATGGGCATGGCAACGGGCCGGACTTGGTCCAAACTCCGACTGAAAAAAACGCCTGAGAACCCTCAACGGAACCCGCCGTGTCGGAATATGATGGGATGCGAGCGACCGTCAATTGAATAACTGCCGGGCTCTTTGTTGCGTAGACCCCCGCCATCCCAGAAATCTGGCGTCGCACTTATTTCACAATGTGGCTCCACAGGGGTCTGAACCTCTTCCCGCGGGCTGGCAAGCGGCATTTCGTGCTGGAAAATTGTTTCACGGCACCCGGGCCTGGAGGCCGAAAATCCGCTGGCCCCCTTGTGGGGCCATCAGGCTGTAGGCCGAAGTGTGCTGTTCCCTGCACCAGTTGCAATTTCAAGCCTCCGATGTTACAGTCCTGCTTTCTGCTTCCTACTGTGAATTGTTAAAGTCCGCGCGAGGGGGGGAGCCCCAAACCTCCCAAATACCACGCCCAGATCGCGTGCTCTGAATTCCCGGGGGGGCGTGGGACACGAAAAAATACTCGAGACTCGCGCCCCCGAGGCAATTATCTGTTGTAAATTTCACGGTAGTCGCGTCCCCGAGGCCACTAACCCTCGCAAGTTACGCCATATTCGCATTGCCGAGGCCAAGAGTGCTCCAAGGCGCCCGAAGATTGTTCCAAGACGGCCCAAGGGGGTCCCCAGAGGCCCTGAGAGCGCTCCAAGAGGCCTCCTGAGAGAGCTCCAACAGGCCAAAATCGACGACTTCACTTGGGTGTTTGAAGGAGTTTGGCCATCTCGCATTTTCGGCTTTCCTACGCTCCAAGACGGCGCAAGAAGCTCCCAAGACCGCCCCAAGACAGCCCAGGAGGCTTCCAAGAGGCCCCCAAGACGGCCCAACAGGGCTCCAAGACGGCCCGAGAAGCGCTCAAGACGGCACAAGAGGGCCCCAAGACGGCCCCAAGAGGGGCAAGCAGGGGACCACAAACAGAAAATTCAATAGTTATGCCCCGAGAAGTCCCCAGGAGGCCCCAAGAGGCCGTCAAGATGCCTCAAGAGGCCCCAAGAGGCGCCCAAGACGCGCCCAAGAGGCCTCCAAGAGGCCCTAAAGATACCCCACGAGGCCCCGAGAGGCCCCCAAGAGGCGCCCAAACCGCCTCCAAGCGGCCCCCGAGAGGCTCCTCACGACACCACACCACATATACAAGAGGCCTCAGACCCAAAACCAAAGCACGGTGGCGGAATGGGCCGAAGGCTACTAGGATCCGCCGCCCCCTGCTTGCAGGGGTGCACGGCGTGCTGGATGTTTCAGGTTTTGGTTTTGGTTCTTTTTCTAAAAGAACTCCCAATGGGCTTCGGCCCGTCCCGCCGGCCACCCGTAATTTTCCCAAAATCCGTCTGTCAATGCCTTTGTTGCCCCAACTTGGCCCAAGATGGCCTCCAAGACGGCCAAGATGGCCCAAGATGGCCTCCAAGATGCCTCCCAGACGGCCAAGATGGCCTCCAAGACGGGTAAGATGGCTCCAAGATGCCTCCAAGACGGCCCAAGATGCCCTCCAAGACGGCCAAGATGGCCCCAAGATGCCTCCAAGATGGCCCAAGAGGCCTCCAAGACGTTCTCCAGGAGAGCCCGAAGAGGCCAAAATCATTGGTTTTCCTTAGGTTTTTGAAGGTTTTTTGCGTTTTCTTCTTTTCGGCCTTCCGACGGCCCAAGAGGCCCCCAAGATCGCCCAAGAGGCCTCCAAGAAGGCCCTATGACGGCCCAAGGGCCCCCCAAGACGGCCCCAAGAGCGCCCCAAGACGGCCCAAGAGGCCTCCAAGACGCCCAACATGGCCTCCAAGACGGCCCTGAAGCGCCCCAAGAGGGCCCCAAGACGGCCCAGAGAGGCCCCCAAGACGGCTCCAGACGGCGTCAGACGGACCAGGAACGCCCTAAGACGGCCAAAGAGACCCCCAGGAAGCCCCCAAAGGCCCCCAAGAGGCCCAAGGAGGCCCCCAAGATGCCTCCAAGAGGCCTCGAAGAGGCCCCCAAGAAGCCCCCAACAGACCCCAAGGGTGCCCCAAGAGACTCCTAACAACCCTCATCCTCCTACTCTATTTCTTCCTCTTCCTCTTCCTGTTCATAATCATTCTCTCCCATGTGTTCCCCGAAAGCTTTCCAAACCGACTCGGGGAACTCATGGTCCGATAGCTTGGCCAAGCTCTAGTCCAACTTTCGGACACATCGGCGTTTCCAAAAAGGCAGGGGGCGGCGGTGATTCGCCGTAGGCGTCTTCGATCCGCCGCCCCCTTCTGCTTCAGCAAAGGGGTGCCCGGCGTGCCAGACCCTATCGGTTTTGGTTTTGGTTCTTTTTCCAAAAAAAACTCTCCCAATGGATTTCGGCCCGACCCGCCGGGGTCCCCGGATTTTTGTCCACGGACCTCGCTTCCCCAATTCTCTGCCCCAGACGGCTCCAAGATGGCATCCAAGATGGCCAAGATGGCCCAAGATGGCTTCCAAGATGGCCTCCAAGTCCGCCCAAGATGGTCCAAGGCGGCCTCCAAGACGGCCCACAAGAGTCCAAGAGGGGCCCAGATGGGCCAAGAGGCCCCTCAGAGGCCTCCCAGGCGGCCCAAGAGGCCTCCAAGAGGTCCTCCAGGAGGCCTCCAAGAGGCCTATGACGGCCCAAGAAGCCTGCAACACGCCCAAGATGGCCTCCAAGACGCCCAAAATAACCTCCAAGACGGCCCCGAAGCGCCCCAAGAGGGTCCCCCGTTGGCCCAGAAAGGCCCCCAAGACTGCTCCCGACGGCGTCAGACGTGCCAGGAGCCCACCAAGATGGCCGAAGTTGACTCGAAGCTGGCCCAAAAAGGCCCAAGAGGCCCCCAAGAGGTCCTCCAAGAGGGCCCGAAGAGGCCAAAAACATTGATGTTCCTCAGATTGTTGACGGAATTTGACATGTCTTTCTTTTCGGCCTTCCGACGGCCCGAGACGGCCCAAGAGCCCCCAGAGATCGCCGAAAGATCGCCCGAGAGGCCTCCAAGACGGCCAAGATGACCTTCAAGACGCTTACGTGTTCCCCGAAGG